GTGGATCCAACGATCGCTTTATTCTAAGCAAAGGACACGCGGCGCCTATACTATACGCGGCGTGGGCTCGCACTGGACTCTTCCCCATCGAAGATGTCATGAATTTACGTAAATTGGATTCAGATCTTGAGGGACACCCGACTCCCAGATTGAATTTCATTGATGTGGCGACCGGTTCGTTGGGACAGGGACTCAGTATAGCCGCTGGGATGGCATATGTGGGCAAATATATAGACAAAAGTTCGTATCGAGTCTATTGTCTGATGGGAGACGGGGAGTCCGCTGAAGGCTCTGTATGGGAGGCCCTGTCCTTTTCAAGTGTTTACAAACTCAACAATTTGGTCGCTATTTTTGACGTCAACCGTCTCGGACAGAGCGATCCAACCCCTTTCGGTCATCAAATGGATGTCTATCTCAACCGATTGAAAGCCTTTGGCTTTGATGCCCACGTAGTAGACGGCCATAATGTACAAGAAATTGTCGAAACTTTTGATAAATGTATGGCCATTACAGACAAACCGCAAGCAATCATTGCGAAGACATTTAAAGGTAAAGATTTTGAGGGCATTGAGGATAAGGAGGGCTGGCATGGGAAGCCTTTGGGTGATAAAGCAGAACAAGTGATTCAAGCTTTGCGTCAAAAGATTTCAACTAAAAAATATGACTTTACTATAAAACCCCCTTCCGATGTGTGTCCGGTTGTGAATCTAAAATCAGTTAAACTGTCGGAACCGCCGAAGTATAAAATAGGAGACAATGTATCGACTCGTCAGGCGTACGGTCCGGCACTCGTCTCATTGGGAAAGACGTGTCCGCGTGTATTGGTAATGGACGGCGACACCAAAAACAGTACTTTTTCCGAAGTTTACAAAAAGGCGTTTCCCGACAAATATATCGAGTGTTATATCGCTGAACAGAATTTGGTTGGCGTTGCCATTGGTATGGGCTGTCGTCAAAGAACTATACCGTTTTGCTCCACATTTGCCTCATTCTTCAGCCGAGCTTTTGATCAAATAAGAATGGTATGTGACGGGGGGTGGTGTGGGGTGGGGGCGGGGGTTGAAGGGATGGGAAATGTTTGTGTTTTCTAAAATAAGTAAATTTCTAATAAAATTTTGCATTTTCCTCAATTGCTTTCTATCTCAGGGCGCCATATCTCAGGCTAATATCAAGTGTGTTGGCTCTCATTGCGGGGTTTCCATTGGAGAGGACGGACCCTCGCAAATGGCTTTGGAAGATATCTCTATGTTTCGGTCCATACCTTCTTCAACAGTCTTCTATCCATCGGATGGCGTCTCAATGGAAAGGGCTGTTGAGTTGAGCGCACAAAATAACGGAATTGTCTTTATTAGGGCCTCGAGACCTAATTTTGCGGTTATCTATCAATCAACCGAAGACTTTGCCGTTGGAAAGGCTAAAGTAGTTTTGAAGTCAGACTCGGATAAAGTTCTGCTTATAGGCGCCGGAGTCACACTCCATGAGGCTCTCAAAGCCGCGCAAGAATTGAAAGCTAAACATAAGATTAATGTTCGAGTCATCGATCCCTTTACTATTAAACCTATCGATAAGGAAACCATTATTTCAAACGCCAAACAATGCGGCGATAAAGTGATTACAATTGAAG